AACACGAAGTGTGCACTGTCATTGCAAAATGTACATGTACAGAAAAAAGTTAAGAACACGAAGTGTGCACTGTCATTGCAAAATGTACATGTCAATGTACATTTTAGATGTACAAATTTTAAAAGCAGTCGGAATTTGTACAGGCTGATATCGGCCATCGTAGAATTATGTATCTTAGTGTATTCTACTTGTGTGCCAAGTTATATTGTAATCAGACCAAAACTGTAGGAGGAGTAGCATTTTGAAAGAATTTCACAGAAATTTCTATTTTTAGTAACCACTGCAACACCGTTCATCGAAATCAAAAACCGATATACAGAATTATGTATCTTAGTGTATTCTACTTGTGTGCCAAGTTATATTGAAATCAGACCAAAACTGTAGGAGGAGTAGCATTTTGAAAGAATTTCACAGAAATTTCTATTTTTAGTAACCAAGGCAACACCGTTCATCGAAATCAAAAATCGATACACAGAATTATGTATCTTAGTGTATTCTACTTGTGTGCCAAGTTATATTGAAATCAGACCAAAACTGTAGGAGGAGTAGCATTTTGAAAGAATTTCACAGAAATTTCTATTTTTAGTAACCACGGCAACACCGTTCATCGAAATCAAAAACCGATACAAAGAATTATGTATCTTAGTGTAGTCTACTTGTGTGCCAAGTTATATTGAAATTAGACCAAAACTGTAGGAGGAGTAGCATTTTGAAAAATTGTTTACAGACAGACGGACAGACGGACGGACGCCGGACGCATTACTATCGCTTAAGCTCTTCTGGTCTCTGACCAGTAGAGCTAAATATACAGGAAAATTCTTTTAAAAATCTTTTTCTCAAGAATAGCAAAGCCATAATTGATCATATTGATACTGAAGCATCCTTAGGTAGTGTAGATTCAAGTTTGTTCAAATCATGACCCCGGGGGTTAGGGCGGGGCCACAAGGCTGACCAAAGTTTTACATAGAAATATAGAGGAAAATTCTTTAAAAATCTTCTTCTCAAGAATAACAAAGCTATAATTAATCATACATGTATTTAAATGGAAGCATCCTCAGGTAGTGTAGATTCAAGTTTGAACAAAACATGACCCCGGGGGGTAGGGCGGGGCCACAATGGCCGACCAAAGTTTTATGCAGAAATAAATAGGAAAATTCTTTAAAAATCTCCTTCTCCAGAATAACAAAGCCATAATTGGTCATATCTATATGGAAGCATCCACAGGTAGTGTAGATTCAAGTTTGTTCAAATCATAACCCCCTGGGGTCGGACGGGGCCACAATGTCCGATCAAAGTTTTACATAGACATATATTATTAAGGAAAATTCTTTAAAAATCATATCTTCTCAAGCATAGCAAAGCCATAATTGGTCAAGGGAATACTTTTTGATTTAAACTTTTCAATAATAAACCAATTCTACTATTTCCTAGCCATTGTGCTCAGGTGAGCGATGTGGCCCATGGGTCTCTTGTTAACGGTATGTTACTGTGTTTTTAACATTTGCTTTGCAGGAATTCAGGGACGACAGTTTTTGGTCTGTTTTACTGTCAATCACCCTAAGGCCAGATACCAAACCAGGACCATATATATTTTATCGGATGGAGATTTTGAGTTTCAAATAATTTCGAAGTTTTCTACACAGCTATTAAACGAAGTTGTTACACCAACGATAAATATGAAAGAAATTAGCGTTACAAGCGCGATTGCAGTCTCATATTTCAAAATCGAAGAAAAGGGATTGTTGATCGAGGCAACTAAGGATGTCTCCGTTATCACTATAGACAATTATATACATTCATCTGATAGCACTGGCATTTTACCAATAAAGTCGATATCCAATTCATATGTTATTTCTTCATCCACAATTTTCAACGCAACTATAGAAAGTTCACAGTTTGCAATATCCTCGCCAGAAAACGGTACTACAATCAAAATATATTTTCGCTTTTATCCTGATTTACCGAAAAAGATAGATGGGGTAACTTACCGAAATGGCAGCGAATTTATTCTTGTTTTGAATGAGCTCCAAACGTATCAAATATGGCACAATGTCGACATGTCGGGAACATTAATTAAAGCAAGCTCTGCTGTAGCAGTTTTTTCTGGAAGTATCTGTCTTAAAATAGGTTTTAAAAACAGTAGTTATTCTGGAGCTTACAGTAAGCTTGATGAACAACTCCCACCAATTGACAGACTGGATAAAATGTACATAGTCCCACCTACCTATAATAGGAAGGGGACATTCCTGAAAATCATATCTCCTTTCCACACCCGCCTTACATATAAGATAGGAAATGAACAAAGAGAGAAATTACTTCTTCCCAGCGGATATTTTGAAATTGCATTTTCGGATAAGGACGTCGTTATCATAGATTCAGAAAAGCCTGTTTTGGTCACCAGCTTTGCCACTGGGTCTGATTATACAGGTGACCCTTACATGATAACTGTACCAGGAATAAGACAGTACACGGATAAATATATAGTGATGGTTCCTGAAAACTTCAAAGAAAGCTACGTGGCTATAATAGTTGAGGGAAAATCACTTTACAACTTGATATTAAACGAAACGAACATCATTTATTACTTGAATGACAGAAAATTCTATACAACCGTAACATTCTGGAAAATGGACTTTGTCGTGCTTGTTTTACCAGTAAAGGGTGGTCTTTTAAGAGTTGAGTCGACAAACAATGCGGCGTTCGGTTTCATCGTGTATGGTCATAGAAATAACGATGGACATGGGTTTGCAGGGAAGGCAGTTTTGCCGGACGTGTGTGTCCCCTCCAATTGATAATTCAATTTCTTTTATTTTACTCTTTTCATTTTTTTTGAATGTGGAATAATTGACCGGAAAAAAATCGGTGTATACCCTTTTAATTCACCATTAAAGTTTTGTTTTTAGTTCACCTGAGCTGAAAGCTCAAGTGAGCTTTTCTGATCACCCGATGTCCTTCCTTCTGTAAACTTTTAACATTTTTAACTTCTCAAGAGCCACTGGGCCAATTTTAATAAAACTTGGGACAAAGCATCCTTGGGTGAAGGGGTGTTTAAGTTAATAAAAATAAAGGGATAAGTCCCTTCACAAGGGGAGATAATCAAGAAAAGGCAAAAATGGGGCGGGTCATTTAAAAATCTTCTTCTCAAGACGCACTGGGCAAAAAAAGGTGTATCTTATATGGAAATATCCTGGGGTACTTTAACTTTGTAATTGATAAAATCATGACCCCATGGGGTAAAGTGAAGCCACAATAGACCCTTTTCCTGTCACATATTTTGTCTAGGAGTTATTCCCCTTAGCCGCCATCTTGTAGGGCAAAGTAGTGAATTTACCTCTTTGAGCAACCAATTTTAAACATGCATGCAAGAAATATGTGGGGGAAAATATTCACAATCTTATAATGATGAATTAATAGATGCTTTAACAAACGTATATTCATAAGAAAAATAGCATTATCTTTACCTCATTAACCAGTATAACAAATTGTACTTGGTTGAATAATGAAGGGATCTGGGAATGTTGCCCTACAATATGGCGGCTAAGGGGAATAACTCCTAGACAAAACATGTCATAGGAAAAGGGTCTATAGGGAATCTAAGTTTTACAAAAAAAAAAAAAATATATAGGATTAAAAAAAAAATCTTCTCAAGAACCACTGCACCAGTGAGCTAAGGCTACATATGGAGGTTTCTATGCAAAATATTTATTAAATTCCATAATTGCTCTACCTACCGTACAGAAAATGTTAAGACTTGTTTTCTAATACATTCTTGGTACCAAAGATATGCAATAGCCAGTACACATTGTGACGTCATCGACCTCTACTGCACAAGTTTATAAGAAACATCAACAAAATCGCTTCGGTGCAAGGGCATACCTTTCTTTGATTTACAGAAACAAGTATAAAAAGACGCTGGATATTCCAAAGATTTAAGATATTGCTGCACAAATGTCGACACTAAATTGTTTAGATACTATTCATGCAGATTTAAGTTTAAACAGGGTAAAAATTCACAGTCTAGTGTATGTTTCTTAAAATTTTCATTGATTGAGAAAGTGTATAGGATTTGTGCAGCAATTTTATTAATTTTTTAGAATATTCTCCGTAATATTATACATTGTTTATTTTAAATTAGAAAGGTGCCGACGTGATTTTTTTGATGTGATTTATTACCTTGAATGGGAGAGAACAATGACATCATAATGTGCACTTGCATTAATAAACTGTGGGTACTAAGTATGTAAAAGAAAATCAATTTGAACTTTATCTGTATATAAAATATACAATTTATAAATTTTTATAAGCTCATTTGCATAAAAATATCGATATTTAGCCTTAACTCACTTGCGTGGGGCATGGAAGCCCAAACTAGTATGTGAGCATCGTGGGTTAGTGTAGATTCTAAATTGTTAAAATCATGACCTCATGGGGTAGGGCGGGGTCACATTAGGGAATCCAAGTTTCACATAGAAATATATAGGATTTTTTTTTTCAAAAGATTCTTCTCAAGAACCACTGGACCAGGAATGCTGAAACTTATGTTGAAGTATCGGGGCCACAATAGGGGATCAAAGTTTAACATAGAAATATATAGAAAAAATCTTCTCAAGAACTTCTGGACCAGAGAAGCTGACACTTATGAGGAAGCATAATGGAGTATTGTAGATTCTAGTATTGTATTAAAATCATGACAGGGGAGGGGGTCGCAATAGGTATAACAAGAAGGGAAATCTGATAAAGAACTGCATAACCAAAGTTACTCAGGTGAGCGATGTGGCCCATTTGCCTCTTATATTTCATTTAACACTGAGAGTCTTGCGCTGTACATGTATGTTCCTTATTTTGATGCGTTAATTTGAAGACAAAATCTTTAATTGTTGATCGTCATTACTGTATATAAAATTAAATCATATTTAATAATTATTACATGTGCATGTATAATCAGTTATCTTTGTACTCCAGAAATAAAAACGGTGTTGCTTTAATTAAAATTCAAACAAAGGCAAAAGAAAGTAGAATAAAGTTTTGGTTCCTGTAATTAAATTAAATAAATCATAAAAAAAATCTCGTCAGCTGAGACTGTATCGATGCATTTGACATATACGCCTAGGTCCGTGACTAAAGAATGTGGTGGAATTAGGCGAGTCATTTGCCTATGCAAGGGCAAGTAAAATATCAATTTAAAAAATCTTACAAATTCCACTTTTTGTTTATTTGGGAGTTATTTATTGCCATATGCATACAGTTAAGATAAACCCTGAATCAAATGACTTAGAAATTAATTGTGATTACATGTAACCCACCAAAATGGTAACACGCTTTAGTAACCATAAAAATGATGGAAATTGAGTGTTAACACTGTTTTTTTTTTGTATAATTTTTATATAATAATAATAATACACTATAATAATAAAGCCTTTATTTATCCAGGATGACATACTTTGGCAACAATGCTAGTTTTCAATATGGTCCTGCATTATAACATACAATCAGAAAGAAAAATGAAATATAAGATAAAAGAATATTAAACAAAATTAAGGTATTCTCTAAGAAAGTTTCTTTTAAAACATAAAACACTTGTCCAATTTCTTATATTTCACACAGTGTATTCCATAGATTTTTGCCTGAAACAACGAAAGATCTCTTAAAGTACTCAGTTTGCATCACTAACAAATAATTGAAAATGAATCTTAAGGAATGAATAAAATTTTACACTTGACAGATTCTTTGTGTCACTCTCTCTTTTCAAATACATTGATTTCGAAATTTTCCATATATGCAATAAGTTTACATGTCACTTATTTTTACAAAAAAACGCTGACGAATCAATGCTTCTCCCACTGTCTTGCCATCGTTCAGAGGTCCTTGATAGGTAAGATCGCCGTCCCGGTCAGCATTTAATGTCTTCCATCTCGTCGTCTTCAAGTATAGGAAGCTTCAAGTTAACGCAGATATTATGCAATTGACAGCAAACATACGCTATCATGCAGCATTTCTCTGGTTCATAATTAAGAACACCTCCGGTTTTATGAAGACATCTATATATGTAAGAAAAAATGTTTTAGTGACTAACTTAAGCTACATGTATATAATGAAAAATAGATGATGCAAGGTACAAGAATACAATTTATAAACCAGCAAGCTTTATTTTTTCATTTTACGGATATTATTTACGCATAAAAGGCTTGAAAAAAAAAACTTGCAACATTTTTTCTAAATAACATGCACAGTGAGTTTTAACCATTAATTTGATAGCTTGATACTTTTAAGTTAATTAGTTTAGTGTGATTCGCATTTAGTCTGAGAAACATGTGTTAAAAATTGCAATCATCCGCTCAATAATGAAGCGACACCATCAAGCATAGCAACAGTTAACATTGCTTGGCGACAGGTGATATTCCAAAAAATATTGACTGCGCAGAATTCATTTATGCGCGCGACGTCCACTGTAATATATTTTCGTTTTACAATATAGGCCTCGGTTAACAATGATTTTCTTGAGGTGAACATTTTCATTTTACACTTAGCTACAAGCAATATTTACCGTATACATTACGACATCCCAATGGTATTCGGATCAAACTTTCTTCTTTCAACAATAAACATGTATTAAAAGACACTTTTTTGCCTACCTGAACCCAGACTTCAGAACCCCAAAAGCCTGTTCTACAACAACACGGGTTTGTCTATGAAATCCATTGTAACTCTGTTCTCCTCTAGATTTAGCGTTATTCACTGGAGTTAAAAGCCAAGGCCTCAATAGATAAACGGGGTTGCCAAGTAACCACCCGTCAATTTCGCTCCTCTCAAACTTGCGTGCAATACCGGAATTTGCCCACATAAAGGCATCGTGTGTTGCTCCAGGCCATTTGCTCACTACACTCAGAAACCTAGTACAATTAATAAAAATGGTATAAACATACTGAGTAATCCTAAGTTATAGAGGCACGTAGCAACGGGGGGGGGGGGGGGGGGGCCGCCCCCCCCTCCCCAACATTTTCCTTGAGGAAAGTCAATTACAGGTATAATATAGTAGTGTATGAATAAAAATTGGTACTTAACGAAGTTCGATACTCATCCACCCCCATCCCCTCCCACACACATGAAATAGTATACTCGAGTGTGGACAATTTGGGGGGGGGGGTCTTTTTTTGTTTTTTGGTTGTCAAGTTTTTATCAGGTAAGGTTGAAAATTTTTCCCCTCTGGCTGCCCTTCTTAGAACGATGATACACTGTACGTCTTGGCTATAGGTGCACGCATAATTCAAATTATTCTCTGTTTTTCTCATCGCGAATCACAATTTTTTGTTTTAAAACTCAATGAAATACCGGTATTTATATTCCCATTGAATAACAAGAAGAATGAAACGTTAAGGCCTAAAATGTTAGACTTTCATAATTCAGAATTATCAAAATTGATACATCTCACTTTGCCATGTGTCTTGAAAACATTTTACTGAGAAAAAGGAATTTAGGCTGAACTTGACACTACAATCGTGTTTTGTATAAAACAAAGATGCTTTTTAATAAAACATGTATCAATTTAAAAAAAATAGACGTTTAAAATAGAATGGTTCACTTATTAGTATATAGTGAATGTTACAAATATAAGAAATATTATAGGGACATACTTCAAGTCAGAATCAACAATGGCTTGATGGAATGAAATCCTTTCCGACATATGTACAGGTGCTCGTCAGATTTTGGCGCTGTTATAGGTATAAGTGTGCCATCAATTGCACCGACCACGTTTGGAAACCCCGCAATTGAATAAAACCTGTGTTTTGTTTTCAAAATGTCTGCATCTGTAGATGGAAATTTAATGGTGTTCAAAGATGAGGATAAAATTTGAACTAATTTGCCAATTGATCTGTAAACAGAGTATGATCTCAAGTGTCTCTGCTATATTATTTAGCTTGCAACTTTATATTCAAACCTTAACATTTAGATGACATAAAAATAAAGGAATTTTCTGTATAAATAATATGATACTGCATATGAATAATCAATAAATATTTTGAAAAAAAAAATCTATACACACATGGTAACATGTGTATTATTTCTAAAATACAGTCTAATAGTACTATGTTTCATTATTATCAAATTATACCCGACCTGGCCACAGATGACGTTGACATACCAAGAGTATCACCGATGACTCTCTGTTCTGTCCTCGAAGCTAAGAATCTTAGTGCAGCGAAGAGATGTATAGATGCTGGCAAACCTTGAGATCTAGAGCGCCTTGTAGGTCTCTCCAGCTGCTCACCGACAATGTGTAAAAGACTTATGATTGATCTTCTATCTAAACGGAACCTCTTATTATCATTTCGTCGTCACAGTTTGAGTTCAGTGGATTCAACCTGTCTCTAAATATACGCTGCCGCTTCAAATTTTCCGAGTCGCTTCATCGAACACCCGCAAAAACGCTGCCATTTTCAAGAACTCACGTTACGACGCAATTTTTGTCACCACCGAGGTGACATAAAATTACGTCAATACGTAAGACGCCACGTGAATTAACACGCTTTCGTGAAACGCCGAAATTTAACTACGCAGTACTTACCTCGTACTTACGTACTACTGTACGTACAACTTACGATGCTTTTGTGAAACGATCTCCTGAACTCGTCGCGAACAAAGCATAAATTGGATACACGCATAAAAATCTGATATACGGTATTACATAGACAGCATGACAACACTTTTTTTTACAAACTTTGAAATAAATGTAGGAAGACCTCTTATCTGTGAAGTATCATCACTGTATGCAGTTAGATTGTATTGAATATAAAGATATAACCTTAAAGTCGCCATAGAAGGGACTATCCTATATTTAAAGTTTCAACTCCTAGACCTGGCTTCCCTTCCGCTTTTGGCGTAATATTTCCGCATTTACCAAAAAAATACGCTATTACGCCACTGATAATAATTTTACGCTTTGATAATTTGGTTTAAAATTCTTTATGAACTATTAAATTAAGAGTTAAAGTATGACCTGTTGAAATAAAATGAGAAGTTCTATGGTAATAAAAGTAACAAACAGAGGACCGGTGTCGTATAGTGAGAATTCCCCCATAGTGAGGCTTCCCCCGGAAGGCTTACTATATAGTGAGTCTTCCCACCGGAAGGCTGGCTATATATGGAGCCTTCCCCCCGGAAGAATGGCTATATAGTGAGACTTCCCCAACGGAAGTTTCACTATATAACCGTTCTTCCGGGGGAAGGCTCACTTTATAGCCAGCCTTCCCCCATTCATAGTGAGACTCCCCCCTCTTATTGTAGTTTCCGGAACATTGTTTTATTATTTAAAAAATTCTAACAGTGTTAATTTATGACGAAATTATCTTCCATACATATACATGTATTTATATATCTATTTTATTTAAGTAATTAAAAGATTTCATGGAGATTATCCTAGAGTTTTTGTTACTTATTTAAAAAGTTGAATGGCACATGCTGATTCAAAATTACCAGTATGTTTCGCCCCACGCATTAAAACATGGTATTCTTATTTTCAATTTGTGTGGAATAACAAACAACTTATTGGTTTGTACATGTGTTGAAGTTAACAAGTGAATTATTTTTGTTATTTTTTTAATTCATATTCAAATATCTTATCTCAATCAAGTAATGACTGATGAATACATGACATGCTCTGTGTTTCAACGTATAAAGTGTAAAAATAAAGCCTCACTATATAGCCATATTTCCCCCCAGGGGGAAGACTCACTATATAGTCAGACTTCCGGGGGGAAATCTCACTATGGCGGAAGTCTCAATATATGACACCGGTTCGATAAGGTACGTAATATACTTAGTAGTTACAAGTAAACTGGTACGGCGAAGATTTGAAAGCAGACGAGAAGACATTACTTACATTAACTATTAAATGATATTGCAATAAGTACAGTCATTTCTATGTTCAATTTAGATAATTTTCACATTGCTTAAAACGAATTAGATAAATGTGAGTGTTGAAAAGATAAAGCACAATCAGTAC